AAGAGTTTCATTTCTATAGATGGAATGCGGTCGTTTATAATTCCCCGTTTTCATATACGTATTACGTATTCTGGAACAAATGGAATCCATATCCACACCTGAACTTATGCGCTCATTTGATGACCATTGAATATTGGTACGAGCAAAAAACAAATAGTTTACATTTTTATATATGTTAATGCACTTAAGACCATAACAGTAACTCGCTATGGGCTGGCCTACAGGAACCCATATAGGCTTTAGTTTCGCTGCTTCTAATCAGTTTCGGTATCAGAGACTCAGAGGGGTTATTCTGACCACCGTTCTCCAGGGAACTTTTTGAGATTTTAACATTTCTTTTCCCCGCAACAAATTCTAGCTGATGTATGGTTTGGTCTCCCAGAAAACGAATCATTTCCGCGCTATGCTCGAGTGAAATAATTGATCTTCCTCTTCTAGAGTCACTTGGATGTCGACTTCATACTTAAATAAATATATAGATAAATAAATGTTTTCTCAGGAGAGGTAAAGATGCGGCTAATTGGCCACGAACTATTGAAAAAACTTTTTGATCTTCAAAGTTTGTCAACTTATGGTTGTGAAACTTCCAGGGAAGTGGCGGCAACTTCTAGGTGTCCGTAACAATTTTTTTGCAACGCTAACAAATCACCTAAATGGACCATTTAAAATCAAATTTAACTCATATAAATCCCATTCAAAATTTTAGCAAGTCATTTGTGAAGATCGTCTGATGAAAAGATGAAATATGGAAATCTTTGGTGTCGTCTTCCAACAAACAGAGTTTTTGATAAACATTGTTTTAATAATTCGGTTCGATTGTGCATAGTGAACTGATGTATGTGAGATGGTTTTCCCTTCTTTTTTGAAAATAGATTTTCCAAAATTGTTCTAGCAGCTTTTCGAGGTTCTACTCAGATATTGAATATCCAAACTCCAGTTAACGCTGAAATAATTGACCTATACTTTACCAAAGTCCTTTACCGAAGTTCTCGATCAATCCGCAAGGGCTGCGATTATAGACCAGATAATCCGGTTTGATATGCACAGCTGATGTTAATCCGAACATTTGTCAATTCACACAAAGACCGTGTCACTTGAGAGCAAACTATAAACTGGCCCACTCGTTTGTTTAGATTTTTGAAAGATCGCGATCAAAGTTGAAAAAATTAAAGAAACCTTTCACAGTTAGAAAAATGAGAAGAAATTTCTGGATTTCAAATCGATTTTGGTCGACCACTCAAACTTTTATTCATATACTTTTCTACTATTCAAGAATATTCACAAACACTCCTTTCCCCTCCACCTTCTTTTTTCCTCGACGTCGAGTGCACCAAAGCGCCTTTAACTCTGTTTTCTCCATCCTTTTTGCAAATAAATAAATCTATTTGGCCACCACCAACACAGCGGTGGCACAAATTTGCCTGAAAGATCATGATCTATTTGTTTATACATCAATCCTAATGTCGTTACGATAGCGATCAACACACATTTACGATTTCTCTTTCGACAACTGCTTTTGTGCCGATTTTACAATCACTCGACTAAAAATTGCTGTTCGCTTACGCATGACGTTGTAATACAATGATAAATCTATTCATTCTGCGCAAATGTTCATCTAAGTTCTTGCAAATGCTCAGCTGTTCTTGTGTAAATAATACAGTACTTCAATGCTATTGACTCGTGATCATTTCCAGTTTATGTTTGATTGAATCATTTTCCGCTCAACCGAATAAAGGTGCCGAAACTCAGGGTAAACTTGCTCATTTCAAGGCTAAGAAGTTCTCAGTAAAATTGTCTCTGTAAAATTTAGTTTTTTGCTCCTCTACCCTGGATAGAAAATCCAAAACTAATTGATCACCCGAATGATTTTCTCATCTGCGCATAATTTCTATGGTGACCGCAAATCTCAATTTTTTCCGGCGTCAACCTTTAATGAACATCTCAGTAATTTAAGATCACTTTTTATACATCTGCCTGCACCCAATTAATTGCACTTTGTTGCATTTGCGACCTTGTAATCTCGTTTTTCAAGTTTTTGCAAACGTGAAAAATATTTATTCGTCCTTAGAAGATTTCCATACTCTGCTTCTCAGCATTACCTATACGTCAGACTAATCCGAAATTATTTAAAAGGATACGGCAAAAATTATACTCCTTTAATTACAAATATTATATTATATTGATAATGACATGCTTCCAAGAGAAACCGTAAGGGAATCTTTACAAGTTTTGCTGCCAGAGAATCACTAAACTAAAAAAAAAGCTTCAAGATAATCCATTTTGTACTGTCATCCAATAAATAATTATTGGAGTGCATAAATTACCTTATTACATTAGTTAAGAGCTTCATTCCAATGTTTTTAAAATGTTATTTTGTAATTCTTGAATCTAGTTGTTACTCCAATTTTTGCACATTTTGTCCCAATAAATTTTTTTCATGAGATATGGTTAGTCTTCATTTCCAATTTCGGTCACTATAAGTCTATTTCTATTGTACATTGAGTCTGCCACAGCCATAGTTTGACTACGACCGTGTTTCTACCATAAGAATAAAATTTTGAGCAAAATCTGTGCATCGATAGGCGAATCGCAAACAAGTCAAGAGTTTTTGAGGAAATTTTCATTTCCAAAAAAATTACATTTGTAATTAAAAGAAACAGAGCTCAACGGTACTCTGACTATTGGCTTGATTACGAGCACTATTTATAACCCATGAAATGGATAGAGAGACCGCAACACTTTGCAAAGGAAGTTTTCCCCGAAGAATAATGGATGAAGAAAACAACCACTAGCAAAAGCTCTGAGTCCTTCTTTCTTGAACCTGGGTGTTTTGATAGCACTCCAGAGAATTTTTCAATCTAGAAAAAAATCGAATATGATAGAACTTTGACTATGCTTACCTACAGCACTTCCCGTGCTGCTGAAACATTAATCAGACGATTAATGTTTCAGCAGTACGGGAGAAAAGAAAGATATTGTAGAAGAAACAATAGCTTATTCTTCTCATTTGCTCCTTCGAACATGACGTAGACATAAAAGACAAAGCTGTAAGCACGAATGAATGGTGCAAAGTTTTCTTGTGTTTTTCTTACAAAAGCGTAAATGCCATTTTTGTACCTCGGATGACTGCATTGGTGAGCGCAAAGGTGATGTCAGAACTTGAGAATTCTGTACAGAAAAGTTCAGTTTTGATGATGAAGGTAGGCATTCCTATTGTCCGCTAGCTATAATTTTTCATCTATCCTAACTTCAGGCTACAAATGGAAGGGTCACGAAAAACTGCTTGAGCATCGCGTAACCTTTGATTCATCTGGATTAGCAGCTGGAAGGCGGGGCTTTGTGACCTAATTAAGGCCGCTCGTGTCGCACAGCGTCTTAATTTGTCCCGCGCGCGCACTCTCTGATCATTATCTACCCTTAGTAGGTCACGAAGCCCCACCTTCCAGCTGCCAAGCCGTTGAATCAAAGGGTAAGTTACATAAGGCTAGGGATAATTTCTGTTTCACTTTTTTGTAAAATTTTATAAAGCTCCGGAAGCTTTCTATAATCTCCAAATTTGCTCCGTATATAGCATGGCAGGGCTTACACAACAGCATGGTTAATGCCGCAAATCCACAAATAGCTTGCAAGCTTACGACAACTTTGTGAGCGCACTCAAAATTGACATTTTTTCTTCGGTTCTTTTCTCTGCGCCTAACTGTGTTTTTTTCTTTCCTATAATTAGAACACATTTTTGCACTGTCTCAATACTTTGGTGCCGGCCTGTTAAACTGGGTGGTGAAAAATGATTAAATAAAGATTAACTGAAAATTTCTCTTGTGTGCATCGTGTAGGATTTGATACGGAAAGGAGTTGGAAATAACTGAGTTTTCGAAAATTGTTGTGCGCTGACATGGCGCATCATGTAACATATAAACATGTGCGGACAGTTTATGCCATCCCTTATATCCGCTAAAAATTATGGACCACACCCTGCCCAATTACACATCGCCCGGATCTCTCCCTAATCACCCGGAAGAATGCCAGCCCGTTGACAAAAATGTTCATAAAACGTATTCTTACCGCAAAGCATATGGACCACGGAGCTGACAGTACCAATGGGTAGACTTTTGCATCCCGTCAGCACTCTTTAAACATGAGCATTCTTGAAAGCTTCTATTCTCAAAAGAAACAAAAGTAAACAGAAGTTATCAGCCGGCCGGTTTAACACTATCCCAGTATTCTCTGAAGGTCAGCAATTTTGGCAGATTCAACACTTTTACGGAGTCTTCATAGAATAATTCTATTGAAAAGCAGGCGGACTTGAGACTAAAATTTTCTTATTGTTGGAAGAACCAGTGCCAATGCACTGGAACTCCTTCATAATCACTGTTTTGTTAGTCATACTGTACAAAAAATCTATATCGATTAACCAAACCGTGTTTAACTGGTGCTAGTAAGTCTGACATAAGACAAATATCACAACTTGATGAGGAAGTAGCTGCCTTTGCTTGACTGCATTTTGACTTTTCCAAAAATTTCCATTTTTTAAGAAGATTAATTGAAGATCGGTGGCCACAAGTAAAAAGGTTGCATAAGCTGCTGCTTGACTAAGGCGCAATATCTTTGGGCGCGAACACAGCTTTATTAGCCGTAGAGCGCAGGCGTAGGATTTACGTACAGTGAGGGTGTACGCGCGCGTTGCGTCGCCCCCTTTTAATACCGCTTCTGCGCCTTCGTCATGCAGTAGCCTTTAGACTCTTACATGTGAAAAATCCTTTCTGCTTTACTCTTCTCAAGAGCTAGAGTTTGTGCAATTTCACAACGGAAGCCCATCTGATTTGTTAATGCAGAGAGACTGTAGATGATTCCCATACTGTGGTTAATAGATTGTCGACCAGAAGTTCTTGCATAAACTACGTTCCTTATAACATTCAAAAGCACAGTGAAGCATCTAAAAACTTTTCTACAATCCATATCTACCACGCCATTACGTCTCCCTCAGTCAAAATCATGCAATCTTTGAGAATTATTCTCAGATGGGTGCACGAACTTTTTTGTCATCACTTTTTCGCAAGAAGACCTTTGATGCATCTTCTGCCCTTGAGTCAAAACTGAACCGATGCATGAGTGTCCTCGATGTGATGTTTTTGGCCATAGGACAGATGATCGGTGCTGGAATTTATGTGCTAGCTGGTAAGCTCCTCACTCTCCAACCACTGAATGACGAAATTTAACCGTGGCTTAGGTACCGTCGTACATTCACAAACCGGACCTTCAATCATCATCTCATATATATGTGCCGGATTTGCAGCTCTGATGTCCGCGTTCAGCTATGCTGAATTCGGAGCGAGGTGAGGCTTCAAGTCACAAGTGGTCTTGAAAGCGAACAAAAACCCATGAGAGTGACTGATACCATGCTATTTGTGGAAACAGTTGCTTTCCTGATTTTTTCGACCAACGATAGTTGTCAAGTTGTACAGGTATCCTCGAGCTGGTAGCGCTTATTCTTATGCATATGTTGGCGTGGGCGAAATCTGGGCGTTCGTCATCGGTTGGACAGTTATACTGGAGTATATGATTGGGAATGCAGGTAGTTTCTCTTACTTTCCTTCAGCAATTTGGTCGATCAGTAGCTGAGGAAATTGCCAAAAAAGGAACAATAATGTCCACGAAAATTTAAGCTAACCCACATATTCAGCTGTGGCACGATCATGGTCCGGATACCTGGACAACCTGGTCCATCATTCTATCAGCAACTTCACGCTTAGCACTATCGGCACACTGAGCTCGGTAAGAAAAAAACTGTACAACACTTCCTCTTCCGTTGCATTTTACACTTGTCCCAACCCCCACAAGACTGAATCGCGAAGTTTTAAAAATTACATACATGAGCTATGTAAAATTATTAGTGAACTTCTACATAATTCTTCATCTATTCAAAATTTCAAATTAAGAATTCAATCTGTAAAAAGAATTTTAGAAGCGTTCATGGGCCCGCGAAAATTTTAAGAAGCGTCCCAAAAAAATCTTTGAAGAAATTAACGCTACCGAAGATATCTTTTGTCCCCCCCCCCCCCCTCCCTCCCTCCCTCGAGGAGCAGTGCCAAGCGCAGCGACTAAATTGCGCGAGGTAAGATGAAGGTGACGGCGTACTGGGAATCCTATATTACCCCAGTAAGCAGATGATGTTCACTTCTGTGCGTGGACAGTCATTTATCTTTCAATTTGGATCAAAAATTTTTGCAGTGGAGGTCGGAGCACAAGACGTGACGCCTGCCACGATCTCCAGTTCCATTCGCAGAGTCTCGCTTATCTCATGTTGCAGGGAGATGGTTTCTTCAGTCGATACCCAGACGTTGTCTCATTTTTGCTGATCATAGCAGTTGCGGTTGTTGTTGGAGCCGGTTCGAAATCATCTGCAACTGTCAATACTATATTCGTATTCGTGAACCTTCTCGTAAGTTTTTGTGTGCATTCAGCTTGACAGTGTCATACTTGTTTGGACCAAGAGGTCGCAAGATCACATGCAATGTATCACCAAAGTTGGAGTAGTGCGGGTCTCTACACATTCTTTTGATTTGCTACTCAGATAGTTCATTGCCCTACCTCAGCTCGATCAGCCTCTTCTACTCCCAAGAAAATACAATCAAGATGGCCTGAAGGTAACTCGGCCAGCCTTGGCCAACTCCTCGGTTTTCCCTTTCGTGTTTCAACACCTCCTCCAGGCCGCATCAATCTACCCTACCTGGGCGGTATTTATCAATCTCCCGCACATTCTCTCATATCTGTTTGGGAACCTACTGTGAAGAGTAGCACGCCAGTTGCGCAAGAGGATGCAAATTATGGACGCCTACTGGCGCTAAAATTTGCGTATGATAAAGACATAAAAATCCATGGTTTTTTATTGTTTTTTCCTTCCTTTTAGTCATCGAACACAGTTTTTGGAATTGCACATTTAGTGATCAACAATTGTAAAGTAAGACAGAGAGATTAGGATCATTTTTCTTAGAGAGTGCTGGAAACGGCCAGTTCGTAGTAAATACCAGTAATTCGTAAATATCTTGTACTAGATGGCACGTACAGACATACAGACAGACAGACATACAGACATACAGACATTCAGCTTTATATATAAGATTGTAGGACAATTCATATAGTGGGATAAGTTAGAAATGCAGAAATGTATCAAAAAGTTTTATTTTGGCTTAACTAGAACAGTACGTACCAAATGGTATAAAATGGAAAGCTGGAATAAACCACGTTGATATCAGTACAGTTTTTCAGCTCGGAGTAGGTGTAACATTCTAAGTGGAGCAGCACGTCCGCATCGCCACTAGCTCAGCCAGATAGACTAGCATTAAGAGAAGCAGACTGCAAAACGGCGCGAATCGTTGCGAAGCGGACTCCTGCCACTCCAATTTCCGCCTAAACCGAGTTGAAACTTACTGCATCTGGATTTCACCTAAGACAGTGCGTTGATCCAAGAGTTCGATAAGTTTGTCCATGTCGGGCACGGCATGGACAAACTCGTCAGATCGGGACCGTCGTGCTGCCCGTTCAGGTCTTGCTAGATAGCCTCACGGAAATCACGGCTTGACGCTCTTGTCTATCCGGGCCGTTATAACGATAACGATGGAAAACGCCCGGACAGTGTGCGGCAGATGCGGCAAATTGATACTTTTCCGTTATCCGGATCCATTTTGAAGGAAAGATATAGCTCCTATTTTTGTACCATACGTGGTCCCAGCTTCACAGGAAAAAGTTTCAACCTTCTACTACGGGTCAAAAAGATTTGACATGTCACCTAAATGCTTGACAGCTTTTACGAAGAGTTTGTGTTGCCCTACTCAGCGATGTAAACTCAGTCTATTTTTTAGTCAATATTGACCTCATTTTGATCAAACAATAGATTGTCATAATAATAACGTTATACTGTTATCGGTGAAGGCCCAGAATAGAAAAATGCGCTAGGATTCCACCATCGGAGAGGCGAAAAAAGCAGCAGCAAGGTGCTTCAAGCCATCATTTTTAGTCTTTTCTGACTACTGGCATGACGAAGAGGGTCTGAAAAAAATGACATTTTTATCATTGCTGAAAGCAATCAAGATCTTCTGAAATAGCTTCAAGATTGTCTTGCTCGTATAGAAAACAGTAGAACAAGTTGTAGGTAATCACAAATGCTCTTTCACCTCACCAAAATGACTTCGTAAAAAACGTGTCAAAATGAACCAAAACGTGTCAATTTTTTTACTGACACGTGACAGGGAGGCAGTTCTCGTGGAATCTAGGAAAAATTGCTTTTGAACTGAGAAACGATTTTATGAGAAGCTATTGAGGTTCGGATAGCGAAAAAGTACCCCGATAATTTAGAAAATAACACGGAGATTATCACTCTGAAAAAATTCCTGAAATGAACCTAAGGCCTCCTATCTTTCTATGCTTTGGGAAGAATGGTAGACAGCTGAACTGTCAGAAGACGGGCCGGCTGCCACGTCATTTCAACGCATTGCCACTTAGCCGGTGGCAGGATCTGGGGTGAATCGAGGAAGATAGTAGCGTACAAATGATGAAGATCAGGCAAAATTTCCGTTACTCATGAGTAACTTACGTCAACTATTTGAAGTATTGTTGAGGTACAAGTATGCGCGACTGCACAATATCGGAGCACAATGAGGAGAGGATCAATGAACACTGATTTCGACAAGAAAAACAGAAACACGAATTTTTTTGCACAGCGCTTATGTTTCTTTCCAGAAGCTGCTCAAAACGATAATCTCCATTCATTTCATTTTTATGTTCCAACATCTTCAATGTTTGATGAAATTATCGTTAACACGTTGACGACGAGCCATTTTTTGGAGGTCTGTCCCCGTGGACGAGACATTTCCGTGCATCCCGACGCATGGCCCCATGTATGTATGCATGGATCCATGCACGAAATACAAAATGTGCAAGCCCCGCCTCCATGTGGCAAGCCCATTCGGCTGAAAATGTCGGAAATTGCCCAAATTTTACGAATTCATGGGAATTCCGCCCACTTTTGTAAAGTGGGCCGAGCTTGCCGCTTAGGGGGCGGGGTTTGCCTGGCGGTGGGCGGGACCTGGCTAAAGTTTTTTGAGGTTTTTGCGTTCATCTACGGCCTCATCCATGCTCTTTATGAACAAAAAGTGTTCTTGTGAAAGGCATGGGAGTGGGCGGAGTTTGGCAAAAGGGGCGGGGCTAATAAGAAGTACATCTGAGTTTATGTTGATTATATGAACAAAAACTAAGATAATTGGGCAGATGGTATTCAAATTAAGGCCGCCGCGCACCATTGCGCGGCGTCGTCCACAGGAACAGACTGCCTGCCGCGCACCATTGCGCGGCACTGTCGTCAGCGTGTGAGAATACCGTAGTTTTCTTCCATCCATTCACGTGTTAGGTGTGTTTGCGCGGTGGGTGAACTGTGGTCGATTGATTGGCTGCACACGGGTCCTTATGCACAGCGAGCACACCTCAAAATTGGGTAACTAAACCTATATTATAAAAATATAACTAATCTACGAAGCACTACGATAATAATACATAAGGAGTATAGGTTCAATATGTGCCATCCGAGTAGTCTTTGGGTCACTATGAGGGGTTCTGTGAGGGAACTTGTGATTTACTGTGAGAGATTTGTGAAGAGAATATGACTAAGATGACTAAGAGAAGGCAAAAAATATTATAACATAAGACACAACGAGAGAAAGGGAAAACATCATACGACTCTGAATATGTTCACTGCACGATATTAACTACTCAAGGATTCGCGCCGTGGCTATCCGTTCGATCAAACCTGCTCACATGTTGTGGGGGTTTCTCTTTAAGAAAGCGCAAGATTTTTATGTTAAGGAAGCGATACACATCCAATTATTAGCTTTTATGCCGGACTGAGACATCCCACGTTCGACGCAAGCCGCCCCAGCCGAGTTGCGCTGAAACGGGGTTTATAATGGGTCATTGCCTCTAGAAGCGCTATCTCTAAACTCATATATGTACAAAAGAAAAATATATGGAATTTGCGCATATTTTACAAAAAACTAGGTTAGGAAAACGACAAACTCTACTTCTACCAACACAAACCTCTCCCATTGGCTATATGAATACATGTGCAAAGACATGTTTAGGTGCATTATATTTTACCTTCGTTACGAAGATTTTTGAACCTTCACCAATGTTTGGCTGTGAGTTATAAACAACTCATAAATGCGCTTCCTTCAATTTCACATGACTGTGTGTGCTAAATGCGCTCCAGCTTTGCAATTCGAAACACTGTGGGGGTCGCGCCCTGGCATACCGTAATGATCGGCCCACTTTCGGAGCAAACTGCAAACTTCGTAAAATTCTTTTTCGCTTTAGACATCAATCACCGCGTAGATATGTAAGAGATCTACTAACACGGCCACGAAAGCCCGGAGCTCACTTTAACGGGAAGCTGCCTTTCACCAAGTTCTTTGTTCCGCAACATGGCCGATGAAGTTTGCTTCGAGTAGTATCATTTCCTATGATGTGAGCCAATTGGTAATCCTAAGTCCTATCTGAAGGCCCATCTTTTTCAAATTCTGTCAACCTGGCTGCGCAGAAGCAGCAAAATGTTCGAACAAATTTTTCTCAGCATCTGTTTTTACACTCATACTTGGTTGAAGGATATTCGTTGACACGACTGCTCCGATTCGTGCATTTACACCACCGTGCCTCTTTGGAGCCTTTCCAGCTCGACAGTACGCTGCAGCATGCCGGGACTTCGTAGCTCGCAGCAACACTGTCCTTTAGCCTCTTTTTGTTGATTTAAGTATTAGGTTGTTACACAAGTCTTGTTACACTCTGTATACTTACAGCGATAAGCCCTACGCTTCATAGTTTCACTAGGGCTTTAGGGACCATTCGATAGAGCAAAACAAGCTCTACAAGACTGCATGCGCAGGTTCGCAATAGCTCCGACCCGCCCCAAGTTTGGAGTCGAAATGCGAGTCGTACTCAGTGCTTAAAAAATCAAAAAAAAATTTTATATCTTTGTTCAAAAACATCCTATGGATCTTCCGATTGCCCAAGTAGATAGCACTTCACATCAGACATTCATATGCACAGTTGCTGTATTTTTTACTTAACTGGAAGTCGAAAAAATCGAAATTCTTTTACTCACACAAGAACCAATCTATGCTATTTTCACGCATGTTATTGTTTACTACAGTCCTTAAGAAGTACTATCGTAGATTTTCAGCTCCGCAAAAGCGCTAGTTTTCGAGATACATCGAATTTAGCACTCTTCACTCGGGTGTTCCATATTGAAATCAACATTTCTCGAAAACTAGGCCTTATGAAAGGCTGAAAATTTACGTTTATATTTCTTAAGACCTGTAGTAAACAATTACATGCGCGAAAACAGCATAGCTTCGTTTTTGTGTAAGTACACAAATTTCGATTTTCACGACTCTGGCTAAGCAAAAAGTACAATAATTGTATATTTGAATGCCTGATGTGAAGTGTTATCTATGTGAGCAGGCGGGAGATCCGTGGGATGTTTTGGAACAGAGAAATAGAATTTTTTTGATTTTTTGGGCACTGAGTACGACTCGCATTTCGAGTCCAAACACTTGCGGCGGGTCGGAGCTAGTGCGAACCTGCGCATGCCATCTTGTAGAGCTTAGATTGCTTTATCGAATGTTACCTTGAAGCCCTAATGAAAATGTGAAGCAATAGGACTTATCGCTGTAAGTAGCCAGAGTGTAACAAGACTTATGTAACAACCTAATATCTCGCATTTTTTTCTTCTTAGTTTACGTATTTCAGTCATCATTCATTTTCCCTTTCTCCTAGATTCTCTCGATTTTCAAATATCCTACGTTCTACTTTGATGAATACTGAAAGGTAAGGGAAGAAATTTGTTTAGGCACATTTCTTGAATTTCTCTCCCTTTTCACCCACGAGACATTCTTTTTCAAATGGTGAGACATCGCCTGGGGCAAAATTAAGTGAAAGGGTGTGCTTTTTTCATAAACAGTGGTGGCTATCATGGATTTTCTTGAGATGAGATTACTCTAATCTTTATTTCAGCACTCCTACATGGTGTTCCTGATGTAGGAGTGCTGAAGTAACCACTTCAGTGGCTTGTCCTGGGAAACATGTCAAATCATTGTAAAACATTGAAGAAAACATGCAATGCCAATCATATCCATGATCTCCACCACTGCAACAAAGAACTCTCTGGTTTGCTCGCGGCGATGATCTCACATGACATTATAGTTAGAACCGAATATCCGTGTTCGAATAATTTATTCGAAATATTCGACTATTCGATTATGATTTGGAGAAAATGGGTTATTCGAATAATCGTTTATTCAAGGAATTTTAAAAGACAGTTATTCGATTATTCGAATATTTGAGCCAACTTGGAAGACACTCATTCCAATATTCGAATAATTAATAATATTCATTCGAACATTCCATGTCAGAAGAAAATTTCAGTTGTTTTACACTGAGTACAAGTATGTCCCTGATCGGTCAATCACACAAATGAATTATCATATGACAGAATGGCTAGCAAGCTTCCCTTTTTAAGGCATGGGTCGCTAGTCATGCCAGAGCATAGTCATGACAAGTAGACACATAGTCTTATGCACAATTCTTTGGAGTACTGAACTATCTTCTGGAAATTGCGTCTGAGAAGTTGAGATGCAATGTTATGCGGAAATATCTCCAGGCTCTAAATCGGTTGAAAAAAAAGCCGGTATTAGGCGTTCTTTAGCGGACCACTGGTCCTCAAACAGCTTGCATAAGCATATGAAGAACCAACAGTGCTTTAAGGTAGCAGGCAACAGATCTTCACTTGCCTTGTCAGCCTAATCACCGCTCGCATGTCAAAATACCTGAAAGATACGCTACAGCGCAAGGCCAGAGCAAGACGGTCGTGAGGACTTGAGCCGCTTGACTTGTGGCGGCAGCCTGTATATCAGTCACTATACTCAAATCTGCTGCCCTTATAGTCGAAGGCGTAGAAAACTAGTGTTAGAATGCTACTTCGAGTAGGCGTGTAGGTTGAACAATAATCATTTTGAACCTGATTAAAAGATATGGAAGATCCCTTACAGCAAAAGTACAAACCTCAAAAATACAACTAAAAAACTTTGTGAGAATTCAATCTCACAGCAAAAACTGTGAAACTAGTGATTGATAATCCCCGACAAGTATTAGATTATCAGCTAATAAACAGACATTTTCATGATTTTTCTTTTTTTGGATTTAGATGAGCACAAAAGTACTAGGTTGTCCCGAAAGTTTTGTCCGTCTTTTTCATCTCTCACTAGAACTCACAGAACACCAATCCATGGACAACTTAGGTACGATATGATACATATTTTTATCTTCTTTATTACAGCTGTATTTGCTCTCTGTTCTACTGTGTCTTTAAAATGTTATTGCCACGGCTATCTGAGCACTCAGAAGTGACGCCAAAACTTTACTGAATTTTAAAATATTCTTATTTTGATGTTTTTGAAGAGTGATGATAATTGTTATGTAGAGCAACCTTTAGCTACATTGTACCCATTTCAGATTACATGGGCCGCGTTTACCAAGCTCGTTATAATTATTTGTTTGATAAAACCGCGGGTTTTTGATGACCGCGTAAAAGTACCGAAAATTCCAAAAAGCTGCTTTTTCAGAGCAAGTCAAACTTGGTTATGTAGCATAAATAGTGTTTGATAAGAATCATATTTCAATTCGCAAAAGCTTCGAAAGCTTTCGTGCATTTGCTGCAGTTGCGCGTTTCATGACTTTGAAAAGAAATCGAGACTTCCGAAGAAATAATGTTTTTGAAGCTAAAAACAGCAAATAAAAGGTAATAAAATTATTACTTGTAGTCCGAGAATTGCTCTATTTGATCCACATCCTTTTCGAAACTTTGGAATAAAATTTCAAAAAAGTAGCCTAACTTTGATCAGATAAAATTGACGGTTGGAGAATTTTGGCAATTATCAAAGAAATCATACAAGATTGTGGTTCGAAAATGTATTCTTAAAAAGAGAAAAAAAGCTGCATCGAATGCATGTTGGAACTCATTCAGGTCTTTATTGTGCATGGTTTATAGTGGTATGAAAAAGCGGACAAAACTTTGGGGACAAGAGCGGAGGCTCACTGAGTTTATTACTGTAGGCCTTCCTCGTGCTCCCTCAGTGCTAGTCTTGGAACTCACGCAATGGTGACCATTAGAATAAATTACAAACAACTACCTAATCTTAAAGGTAAATTTATTTTATTAATTTAAATATTAAATTTAAGGTATTTTCCATGGTAAATTTTCAGCTTTGGGAAAAAGTTCTATGTAGCTTCGAGAGAGAGGAAAAATAAATTCGGATTTGAAAAATAAATGCGGATTTGAAACGATTACTATGTAAGGCTTAGTAGCCATCTTGAAAGATTATGTACACCTTGAACTACATGTTTGAGTGAAAATCTTCTGTTTCCTATTTGGAATCCTGACCAACGACAATAACCCAGTCATCCTACCACGTGCTACACATATAGTTATCAGCTACAAATCTAGATCAAATATACCCATTAATTTTCTTGCTGAAAACGGCAACAAAGAAGAAGCCAGCATTGTTTGAGGCACTAGATTATTCGAATTATTCGAATAGTCGAAGGTTCGACCAACCCCATTTATTCGAATATTCGTTCAATTGAATTTTGAAATCTAGTAATAATTCGAAAATTCAGATTCGAATAATCTGAAAATCACAGATCGAATAATATTCGTTCGCGAATATTTTTCAAGACCCGATTATTCGAAGTTCATTCGTTCCACGAAATTTTCGGTCGTTTTAACTATAATAGACACTAGAACGGGTGTGATTGCCTGAAATGAAGAATAAGAAGAAAAAAGCAATGTGAAATACTTAAGATAACAAAAGAGTCAAAGGACAGGGACGCTGCGAGCTACCAAGTCCAGTCACCGAGCGCTGCGGCCTACTGTCAAGCTGGAAATGTTCCAGAAAGGCACCCCACGGTGGTGTAAATGCACGAATCGGGGCAGTGTCGACGGATATCTTTTACCAAATTCTGATTGCATCACTTCCTGTTTTTCACCGAAACAAATTCTGCTGCGTTTTGCTTAGGATAAATGCTTACAATCATTTTTCGCGTTACAGGCGCTCATGCCTATGTTGGAGTAGTTTCTGCAGCCGTCATCGCTTACTCGAGATAGCAACCTAGCTGTTCGCATGGTCTTGTGTAATGTTATTAAACATGATGAGACCCCTTCAACTTACCTTTTAGATAATTGTGTTCATTACGATCTACGGATTTACTTACGCAAACTTTTCTCACTGGGTCGGGAACGATGAGCAAGGAAGATCTAAGTAAGTGCACAAGTTGATATCTGTCAATACCCTTTTGAGCTTCTTCTTTAGATTTTTTCCATTCGAGATTTCGGGTACTTTATCTGGAGCTGCTACATGCTTTTTTTCTTTTATTGGTTTTGAAGCTCTTGCAACGGCAGGAGAGGAAGCAAAAAGTAAGTTTTCTCATAAGTCTTTAAGTGTTTAGACGAAATATGCCGTAATATGTCCAGATCCAAGAAGAACAATTCCAATCGCTACTTTCGGCTCCCTTTCAATAATTACATTTATATACGTGGTCATGTCATCTTCTCTGACACTAATGATACCTTGGGATCAAGTATTATCCTTTCTCTGTAGTATATCTGAGATTAAAGCCTCAATGTTGTAGGTGGACCCTGCTGCTCCCTTCGCAGCTGCCTTTGAGCAGAAGGGTGCAATTGTTGCAAAGTACATCATCACTGTTGGTGCACTGGCTGCCATGTTGAATAATTTGGTGAGTTTTGCCTTACAAGGATTACTTTTGGCCTGACTATCTTATGGATAGAATTGTAAAATTCTTGGAGTTTCGCTAATTCAAAGGGAGTCCCGCTTTGTCCGTGTATCGTAATTGGTGGCTGGCTTGTATCGGCCTGCAGTGTGTTGCGGACTCGACACGAGGGCGGTGGGTCCACACGCAATAGCATGCAACTCGATGGATGTCGTCCGCCAAGTACGGTAACGGGTCTGGTTGGGAGCGAATGATCTCAATGATAACTGCATCATCTGCGCTGCCGCTTGGACATGCCTCAATCAAGCCCCCAAATCAGTACCTAGGTACCTCCTTGTGCTGAATTTGCCTGAAGCTGCCTTTAAGTTCGAATCTTACGTGAATATGAATAGAATGTGGTTATTATGGCTCAAGGATATATTACAAGTGAAAGTAAGGTGTAGTTGTTTTGTTGTTTAAGACTACGGGTGCATTTGCCCTGCCGCGATGTGTATATGCGGTGGCGGACGACGGACTCATATTTTCATGCCTGGCCACTGTGAACAAAGCCACACAAGTGAGTCGAGTTTTCCATTTTTTCGAAATCATGCGAGGAACCACGGTTGTATATAATCAGAAATTACGTTGGTACTGCTAAACGTTTCCATATTGACTTCCGTTTTTTCGGCTGTATGATCGATTGCAGGACTTGACCGAGACAATGCCAAATTTTGCCTCTTTAGAAAATTAATAATCGAAGCCGTCAATAACCTAAAAAATAAGTACCTCACCAACGCTATAGAAGAGTGCAAACATTTTGTAAGGCAAGAGTCGCAACAAAAAAGAAACGCAAGAGAGTAACAAGTTCGCAGACCACTACAGCAGATATCTGCCTACAAGCACTGGAGTTTTTGACAAGAAAAGTTGTTGAAGCCGTTTCGGTTTCTGTTATACAGTCTACTCCAATCAGGATCAGGCCAAACCTTCGGCCTAAATTTGCGCGCTTGCAGCCTAAGCGTTTGCGCTGCATATGTGCGCTGTCGGAAAGAGCAAAAGGATTGAAGAGAGAGCAGAGAAGCAGGCCGTGGGCGGAACCACGAAACCTCAGCGACGCGGACTCCCGCCATGCCAATTTTGGCTTGGTTGGGAATGGGGCAAACTGTAGTCTACTTCCGAAACCGCCCATAAAACGCATGCGAGCGCGCCAGCAACGCGGCTGCCAAGTGCGGGCGCTATGATGAACCTCGCAATGCAAACAACCAGTGCACGCAGACTGAACGCACGCTCGCGGGCGTTCAGTCTGCGTGCACTTAACTATATCTAACTGGACATTAGATTTCTACAGATTTATGCAAATGAATAGACGCAATCGAGGCAATCTTATCCAAAAGCCAAGATGCTCCTCACGCTAATCCATAAGGTGGGAGAAAGAAGAATGCAATTGCTTGCAATGCAAAGTCGTAAAAAACATATGCGCAGGGCGTCTTTACAGTCAAAATTATGCGCAATGTTTGGTGGCCGAAGCAGTGGACATGTGACTTTTTTCAGTACAGTTTTCACGATGACTGGTGTTCATTTTTAACACCAAAGTAAATCGCAAAAAGTCAGTACATCATAAAGTCCTGTCCTCTCGGGCATAAAGTTGAAATAACAGGTCAAAAGATGCAAGTTGTTCCAGAAACCTATTGAAAATTTCTGTCAGCATTTTATGCCGATTTCTGTACACAGTAGGATTCTCAGTAAAGTTGATCAAAATCCAAGTTGACGGTTAATCTAGTGTCCTGTGTTTTTCAAAAGAAGAAGGTTTAAAAGAGGAAAAGAGTAAAAAAATTTTCAGGTACCGCTAAATGCGATCATTGTCTTCACGATTTTGAACGCAATATTAGCCTTAGTGTTTGACCTGGAGGCTTTGGTTGAGTTTCTTTCCATAGGAACATTACTCGCCTATTCGGTAGTATCGGCAAGCGTGCTACTTTTGAGATACCAACCTGCTCCTATCGGTAATGATCCGGACAAACTCGATGCAGGTGAAGCAGAAGGCTGTACTATAGGTTGTATGAATGCAGTATGTTTATTCTAGTATTTAGGTGGTACTTTCAAACACTGGGTGCCCATGCGTTACTACCTGGAAAGCATTCCGACCGGTAGAACTATATCTATTGCTGTATCAACGCTTGTGTTTAGCTATTTTTGGCTAGCTTTCTCTTTCCGATTGGGTATGTGGGAGAAGTCTCAATGTTTATTCATTCTTGGGATCAAATTTCTATTGACATCAAATAGGACAACATAAGATAAATGTTTTATGAATTCGACATTTCTTAAGGAAATATTATAGGACTCTATTCTACGGCGGGGGGCTACATCTCCATTGGTTTCAGCATACTTCTCATAATTGTTACTCTCATATTCATCCATGGGCACAAGCAGAACTCACTGGACTTATCATTTAGGGTAAGATCAAATTCTAAGTATGTGCTTTTAGTGAAAGTCATATGGTAACTGATTCCACTCAAATGTCATTTCAACAGTTTTTTTTATCGAACTGATGGAAAGACAAATTACGGCTTGATAGATATTAACAATACAAATACTATCATTTTACATAAAGTCTATGTCAAGACTTCATAAGAGTTCTGATATCAAAGAAACACAATAAGAGATAATAATCTTAAACATATGCCTAAAAGAAGGGTTTTTTGATAAATTTTCTTGTGCCACGTATGCGAGTTGCTTACGTCCAACAGTATGTATTTTGCAATCATGCACTTCATTTTTTAGGTCCCTTTTGTGCCAATAATCCCGGCTCTCGGCCTGCTTGTCAACTGCTTCATGATGGCTTACCTTGCATACCTGACCTGGGTTCGCTTCTTCATTTGGATGGGGATAGGTAAAAATTATGTCTTCAATTTCGCAATTTTTATAGCTATTGATGTCTTCTTAACAGATTTGACTGAGAGGAGAGATCAAAAATTTCTATTAAAGATAAACCATTTCGAGAAAAAAAAACAGATGTAACTGAGAAAGCGTGTTTGAAAGTTCACATAATTAAGAATCTTTAGCAGAGGAGGTGCCTAACTTTACATAATTATCAAAAAATCGCATGAGTCAATGCCTGGAATCAGGGCCCGACACGAGGAATGTCAAGCCGAATTCGTATTGGATGGAAAACAAAAGGGTTATCGTTAACATACGTTTACATGTGCGTACACTCTCTGGAAAAGTTGCTACACGACTGACATGCAAAAACACGATTTTGCTCGCACGTCATCTTCAATCCTAAAGTCTTTCCATTATTTAGTAAATAAGTACCTCGCCTACAGCGCACATAGAATAATATGACATCGATTTTGGTGTATAAACGGACAAGGACTAGGAGTAGCGTAGTGCAGAGTATCGTGGAAAAATTATCTGGCTGAAGGTTGTGCCATGTTTTTTTTAAAAACTTCCTACTAGTAAGAGACTGAAAAATTACTCGTTTGCAACGCACAGATGACGATAGGCACAGAACTTGAAGTGGCAATAGCCCACCTAATGCCCGCCTGAAGTAGGCAAAACTCCCATTTCACACACCTAAAGTTCACTTTGTAGCAAAATTTGGGTTCCGAAACTCCTCCTCCTCTCCTCCTTGTTAGAATGCGTAATAGCAACGACGCCGATCTTTTTGTGGAAGCAGCACGCTCCAACAACTTACAGCTGGCGGGATCAAATGAGTAAACGTAAAAATCGAGGATTAAGTGGGAAAACGTAGAAATCGACAGAGGCAAAGGCGAGATCGTTTCATTGACATTTGCCAGCCTCGTGCTGGACCCTATCTGGAATGTTTATAATACGCGAAAATGCCGACAGACTTAACACGGAAAAGATTTGATCACTAGGAAAATTGGGGAAACGATATTGATATTATCATCTCAATGGCCCATTACAACAATCACTCAATCATATTTCCCGAACGCATGTAGATGCGAAAGTACTCACACTTCTTCTTTACTATTTTTTGTTGCAGGTCTTGTCATTTACTTCTTTTACGGCATGCGAAACAGCAAGGAAGGCCAAAGAAAAAGGAATATAACCGACACTATGGTTTCCGCAATCGACACACGTAGTCCGGAGAAGAGCTAACCACTGGGCAACTTGGGGATACGCCATATATATAATGAGATAGCAATATTCTCACAAATCAAGTCGGGGTTAGATAACCTCAAAACGCTTTATGTGCTTCGATTCGATATCGTATGAAATTCATTGATCTCGTTTGGGTTAAGTCTAAACTTACTGTGCTTATGAGCTCAAACTCTTATTTATATGAGTTGTACGGTATTTTCGTATGAATGAAATTGGATTGATGAATAAAGCAATGACACAAATCGCAAAAATTTAACCCAGGAAAAAGTAGGCAAGTCTTTAATTCACGTCAGTTTTCGTAAATTTTTGGGCCATAGCTCAGTTCCCTTACTCGGGCGCGCACACTAAATCTGGTGTCAGATCACTGCGATTTAGTTGTAAAGACGCTTTGTGTTTGGGTAGAGCACGCCAATGAGGAAAGTATTCAAATCAGTCTAGTCCTACATCCTAAAGTGAGGAAGTATCCAGATTTTTCCATTATTGCGCTCCTCGAAAGAAGAGTTTATTAGTTTAGCACTAGGCCACGAATAGTCAAGGATACCGTGCCTGCTGGAAGCGAATTCGGTTATGAAGATGGGCTATTGTTTGAAAAAGCGCATTTATGTGAGCATTTCTCAGAAGACCCGGGCAACTCCTGACGAAAAGAATGCATACTTTTTTCTCGAAAAATTTAAGCTACTGAATACGAATGGTAATCTGTAAAAGCATGCGTGAAAGGGGAAGATGAGAAGGGATGAAGAAGAAGGTGCGAAAGCATGACTTGGCCAGTCTCTCCAGTTTTTTTACGGGACTAATGCTTTGAACCTAAATGAACGTTAGTAAAAGCAGGCAACTGGTTGAAAGTTCGTTTTTTCTGCTATTGATGATCGTTTCGGCTAAGAATATCTTATGTTTCTTTATCTAAATGTTTTACCTACTATTATATTTTGTTTTTACTCTTCGTATTCAACTCTCATATGAAAATTCAGAAACTGTGTATACAAACAAACACAAATTCTATGTAAAACGATGGAGTTCCATCAGAAATTTCAATAAAAGTGGAAGAAAGACGGCTTTTCTCTGCTGCTGTCCTTGCGTGCCACAAAAATATAGAGCATCAGAAAGAATTTGAGAGAAGCAATTCTATCCCGCTAACACTTAGAGATACTAAATTTACACGATAAGAAAAACAAAAGAACTTTAGCACACTTCTTGTTTACAAAAGGCAATGATATCCTTCGGGAAAGCCCCGTTGGCTCCGAGATTTTCAATAAGAAGTCTCTAGTAAATTTGTGTTTTCGCAAGGTCTCTTTTTTAAGTTGAAATTTTCCGAAATCGACCTCAACATTTCAATCATTTCAATCTTCATTTCAATCCTTCAATTTAATGAGGTGGAGAGTGCTTTCGTAAACTCTGCGTAATTGCTGATTTTGAGAGACAGACTTCAACCTCACCATAGGGTTGACGCGCTTTTGCACCACAAAACTCGATTTTTTAGCGACAGAAAATACTGTAATGTAGCCATTACGACAGCCATACAACAGTGAACTCGTGTGCATGACTGGGAAGAAATTTCGGGATTGCGCACTCTGGTTCAGCCGCAGTTGACATCCACTGAATGTTGAGTGGAGCACCCTGCACAATCAAAGCCAACTCAGATCACGAGATAAAACCGGAGACGCTTAAAACTACAAAATCTTAGTTAGTCTCATTCATCGGGTGAAATATTATATGAAACACAGAGGGAAATAAGGACATCTAGGGTCGTATCGAATCTTCTGCTCGCAGGGAATTTTCGCGTAAAGTATTTCAGGTCTAAATCGCTACCGCATCATTAGGAAAAATTTGAAAGTTGTAGCGAAAGCTGCATCCCCATGTAGGCAATGTAATAAATCAAGTTCAGCACGTCGTGGACATTGCAAACTGAGTTTTGTGGTTTGAAAGCGTTTCAAGCCTATGTTGAGGTTGGAGTCTGTCCGTCATAATCAGCGATCAGAGGAAAACGCTCTTCACCTCATCTATCCAGAAAGGTCAGTAGGTTCCATGATTGTCATTTGAAATAAACAAGAGCTTGAAAACTCTTCAAACCAGTGGTTTGTTGAAGCAGATTGACTTTTGGTGCTGTTGAAAGCAAAAAATGCAATCATCGCTTCTATTTGAGTAGGATGACAGGCCGTAGGTGTTGCAAATGTCTCATATTTTGGGATGTAATTGTACAAAAAAATTTGAGAGTCAACGAATGCGATAGTGATTAGAAAAACCAGGTGGCTTTATAATTTTGTCCAGCTTTCAAAGAGGGCTTTTTCGAATTTTTTCGTTTTTCTCCGTTCAAATTCAACAAGACTGGAAGCCGTTTTGAGGGGTCATGGTAGGTTGACATGCGCACAGTACAGCAAAGTTTCAGACAGAATCATTCACAAGAGCGAAAATTACGACGATTTTTATGGTGGCTTTATAATTATGTCCAGCACTGTATATATTAGGTTGTCCCAAAAGTTTTGTCGGTCTTTTCAAATCACTATAAAACCACGCACAATAAACACCCGATTGAGTTTCAACGTGTATTCGATGCAGCTTTTTCTTCTCTTTCTTATGGATACATTCACGAACCGTAATCTTGTATGCTTTTTTCGATATTTGTTAAAATTCTCCATCCGCCAATTTTATTTGCTCAAAGTTCGGCTAATTTTCGAAAATTTCTAAAGTTTGTGAAATGGTTAAGTATGATTCAAATAGAGCAATTCTCGGACTACAAGGCGATATTTTTGGGTTCTCCTAATCTGCTGTTTTTAGCTTGGAAAAAATTATTCTTTAAGGGGTCTCGATTTTTGGCGAAGTCATGACACGCAACTGCAGCAAATACAAGGAAGTTTTCAAAGTTTCTGCGAATTAAGAAATGATTCCTATTAAGCATTATTTATGCAACATGACCAAGTTTGATTTGCCTTGAAAAGGCAGCTCTTTGAAATTTTCGGTACTTTTACGTGGTAAACGTAATCAAAATTTTCGGTACTTTTACGTGGTAAACGTAATCAAAAAGTCGCGGTTTTTATTTAGTAATTAATTGTAACGGATTTGGTAAACGTGGCCCATGTAATCTAAAATAAATACAATGTAGCCAAAGGTTTGCTTTACATAACAGTTATTAGCATTCTTTGAAAACATTAAATCAAAAAAATTTAAAGTTCAAGAAAGATTTGGCGTTACTGCTGAGCTGCTTAAAAAGCCATGGCGAGAACATTGCAAAGACAAGGTAGAACAGAGAGAAAATATAGCTGTATGAAAGAGGATAAAAATTTGAATCAAATGAAACCTATCTTGCCCATATATTGGTGTTCAGTGAGTTTCAGTGATCGATGAAAGGAACCGACAAAACTTTCGGGACAACCTAATATATTAGGTTGTCTCATAATTAATGCACGTTTTTCTAACCTCTTTTTGAGAAAGCTGATTTTCAAAGAAAAAACACTTTTCAGAACCCTCTATAGTATCGGAAAGCCCGATTCCTCTAGTTTCTAAAACGTGCTTTCGCTTTCGCAAATCTTCGTTGGATTCAAAGTTCTATGCCTTCAAATACAAGTGAAATTTGATTCCTTCCCTTCACTCTCCTTGCTCTAAATCCATGAAAAGTAGATGGATTTTCTTTAAAAAATATGCTTAACGATCGCAAAGCTTTGCGCTACAAAACGCTTGTCAGTATGAGATTTTTGAAAAATTCCAAACTAAGAAATCTTGTCTCAAACTTGGCTGGTCGCTGAGGCCCGTCTAAGCTGCATAAAAATCTCAAGTAAAAAGCGACTGTATAAATTTCGCTATGTACACGTGGAGTAGACCTAGTACAATTAATGCTAGAAGAAAACCAGCATTTCATCGTCTTTTCGAAGAGAAATCAAAAAATCCGAAAAAGGCAGTTCTTAGGTCTCCAAATTATTGAAAAAATGGGTACTTCCAGTTTTTTTTTGCAAAATATTCGCACAGAAATATGCCGTAAAATTCAAACTTCACTCCATTGCACAACCGACCATCGGCTATATAATGAGCAAAGCCCGCGCGATCCTAGTATATTTGAGCGAAAGTTAAGCTCTCTCAAAGTATAGGTTTCTAAAAAAATGTTGGGGAATTTTTTAAGCCATAAAAAATTTTTCTTAAAGTGGCTGCGATCCAACGAAAGCATGCGTTTTATAGTCAAAGGTTTGTTGTTTGCAGTAATTTTTACTGCGCCCAGAAAGATAGTTTGGGAAAAGAGTTATCTTGATTAGAAGTTGAAAGTCATGAAGCGTGCATTAATTATGAGACAACCTAATATACAGGGTGTCCGTAAAGTATGTATACACTGTTTGATTGCTAATATCTTTCTTCCCAACAAGTCTTTTGCCTTGCTTCAGGTACCATTTTGTGGAGCTGGCTTCAACTTAGATTTACAGTATGGAGCGAATCATCGATCTCTCTTCATTACTGTAGGATTACGGTAGAAACTTGAAACATATGGTGTCAATGTGGAAAAAGCTGCCGTTTCAAAATTTTTAAAAAAATGTGAAAACTTCTGTAATAGGGTTTTTATGAACGCTGAGCTCATTACTCAACTGTTCACAAAATTACGAAGCTTTCTAAACGGTGTAACCGCACTTTTTAGGAACATTGAAAAAATGACCGCTACCTCTTAGCCGGCATAACTCTTCAATGAAGCATCATAATAAGTTGAAAAGTTTACAGTTAGGATCAGCAACTCTAATTAGCCTAGTGTAAAAGTTTTCAGGCTGTTTTGTTTCTTTTCTGAGGCAAAATATGGCCTTTCTTTGCTCAAAACCCTCTTTGAAGTTTCTATCGTAATCCTACAGTAATGAAGAGAGATGGGTGATTTCGTTGTATAATACAATAATAATAATAATAATAATAATAATAATAATAATAATAATAATAATAATAATAATAATAATAATAATAATAATAATAGATAATTCATGAAATAATGTTTAAGCCACGCAGGTTTGTTGAGATGTTTATTCAGTCTAACGTTTCGGCAATAATGCCTTCCTCAGAGACCTGAAAGAAAGCCTCATCACACTGTTCTGTACCATATACGATCAAATCTTTCTTCTCAACCAGCTTAGCTCGATGCCTTGGGAGCAAACATGCCGAGACATTACATTGTGAGT